TCCTGCTGTGCATTCTATAGACGTCCTAATCCTTCTGTACATCAGGTGCATGACATGGGTGTGATCTTTAAGACCACAGATGTGCTGTGTGTGGAGACTGAGTGCAGCCTCCTAAGGAAGCCTCGTTAGCTTGAGGGAGTTGAGATGTGTGTGAGAGAGGAGGTTTGGAAGAGTTTCTACCCCTGCTGGAAATAGCTTCCTTCAGGTGTCCTCTGGGATGGCTAGACCCTTGTAGATTAGCCCGGTTTGGCCTCTGGACTGCAAAAGCAGATGGCCGTGAGGGAGATGGCAAAGGAAGGACTAACCACAGTGCTGGGAGAAACCTCCATGTTCTACTTGTGGCACTGGCCTCAAGTCCTTTTGTCGCCCAGGGTGAGGTGTCTGTCTCTAGATCCTGCAGGAGTAATAGGACAGTTAGCTCGCGTCTGATTGTGCTGTACTGTAAAGTTGCATGGAAGCTGCGTTCATGATTACTGGGGTGCCTGGAGAGGGCAGTTTGGGAAGCGTGCCTTGCACTAGCCTGGGCTGTGAATGACTAGCTGCTGCTCTTGCCCTGTCTGACTTTGTCAGGAGCAGTGATTTGGGTTTGTTCTTCCTCTGCCTTCCTCTCTCTCCACCCCAAGAAAATCCAAGTTCCTTACTTGAGAATTTGCATTAACTGCAGCACTTAGTTAAGTGTTTTGCAACTTTTCCATTCTGGCAAGCTTGTCAAAATTCCTCAAGGAGCATGCCTGTAAACAGACAAAAATATTGAAAGCTTTTAAATGCATTTATCGTGCTAAAACAATTGGCAGTACTTATGCTTGTTTGTAATGTGTCTGTGAGTGCGCTCAAGGAAAATACTTTGGAGCACAAGGGTTTGCAGAAAATTGCAGGAGAAGCTGCATGGTACATTTCAGCCTCTTAATAGGCTTTTCCCCTTCCTGCCTGTGGCTGGTAAAGAACTGAAGCTTTAGTCGATCTGTTGCTGCAGCCCTCTATCCCTCTTGTCTTCATAGGCATTCGGAAATTAGGGTAGGGTCATGTTCCCTTCCCTCATTGTTGCCTGTTCTGCATCCTGTCACATAGTGCATTTTTTTGTTCCAAATTACAGATGTAATGTAGGCAAATCAGGTATTCTCCAGGCTGGAAGTGTCAACATTAAGCTGAGATTTCTCTGCAGCTGCTTTGTGTGGGAGGGAAGGAACCTCTTTGGGGCTATTTTCAAATATGTTTGTGTGAGTGAGAAGCAATCAAGTTCTTGAAGGGCAATACATTTTCCTGTTGTGGATGTGATGCTCGCTCGTAGCCTAGCCTTCCGTTTAGCAGCCTCACCCCGACGGAAGTGGGGGAGCTGCTCTTTATCAAATATTCTTTCTAATCAAAGTAGAAATACAAAATAAACATTCACCTTCTGCTCCTTCATAGTGTTCTGCTTCTGTTGCAACTGAACAGCCATGAGCTAGCATCCCCTCCCCACATCTACCCTGATGGCAGGAGAATCACAGGCAGAAAAAATCCTCTTGTATCTCCACACTAGTTAATCTCCTTCATGTTCTGCTTTGGAGGGTGGCATCTCACATCTGGGAGAATATCTGTGCAATTTACATACTTCTTCATACCCGGAAACCAGATTTACCCACTAACCAGTGCAGCAGCTGGGCTGCTACTTACACTGGAAGGCAGTGTTGCACATCACTGGCTTTAGTCCACGCTGGTCGCTTGGTCTTGCATTCCTACTTTTGATTGATGCTCTCCAAATCATACCATGAGAGCATCAATTGCATCAAGATTTTCCAGTGTTCTGGACACAGCTTATTTGCATAAAAGTCTTCTGATTGCTGTCCTTTATAATCATTGCAACTTGAAAGCCCTTTCCTCAAACCCACTAGCCATGGTTCTATCAGGAAGATTATTGGTTCCTCTGGGATGCCTGTGATAAGATATGTCATGCTGAACATCCTGTCTTTCCATTCTCTGGTGGAGTAAATGATTTTTAGAACTCGCAGCCATCTCAGACGTGTGCTGATTTCCATGCAAATGAATGCAATGAGAATGGGCAAAGCACACTGCAAAGGTGGAAGAATGATCTCTGTTAGGGTAAAACCTGCACCACAAGATTCCTGTGTGACTGCCTGGTACAAGTGCGCAGTTTTCGTAATTATTTGCAAAATTTCTCTCCGAGCTTCAGCTGACTCGAGAAGGACCTGCGTGGTGCCTGGCCACTGTTAGAATCGGGCCCCAAGCATATTTGTTTAGGAGTGATATCTAAGGACAATGGCTGAGCTGAGCCAAAGGTTGGGTTTGCGGTTAAGGGTGAAGGCTAGAGATTGGCAGGCATATGTTTTATTCCAAGTGCTGATTTAGTTATTTTAACCCTTCTTACCCCAGCATCTCATCATTCCTGTCTTTGGTGTTGTGAGCGTTAAATTAATTGAGGTTTGTAAAGCATGTTGAATTCCTTGAAGTGAGACTTCTGGAGAGGGCAGCCGTATTAGGTAGCGCAGTGCTTGAAATGCACCTGTCACTGTGATATCCAGCATTAGATAGCTGAATTATTATTCTGCCCGCTCCCTGGGTCTGTCATAGCCACTTATTTTTCTGACAAAATGTTTTTAAAATCCTGTTAGCTTTTCGGAGTTTCTCTAGCTATGGGAGAGTGAGCTGGCATCTATTTCTGCTCGTGCATCAGCTGAATTGTCAGTTACATTTTGATTGCAGAGTCTTTTAACAATGATAAGGCAAGAAGCCTGATTTTCAGATATCTCATGAAGTGTGCAGTGCTGGCAACAGAAGAATCCTTTTTTGACTTATAACCTGAGCCAGTTTGCTTTGAAATCAGTGACAGCAAGCAAATATGGCACCTCACTGTGCTGTTAGACAGTCATTTTTCTCTAACTGTACATTAGTATATTACTTTTAGCAAAATTTGGGAGAATAAATTACAATCCTTAACTAGGATTTTCCCTCCTTTTTTTTCCTCTCTCCCCCCTTGAAATTGCACCCAACATTATGAACTGTCTTGTCAGAGCCATTGCTTCTATCAGCATTGTTGAATTTGTGCATCTTTGTGAGGCTCTAGAAGAGTCTCTGATGTGAATCTGTGTGACAACTGTCACATCTAGGACGCAGCCAGGTCACCAGAACTGGATGGCAAAACTTGAACAGCAGCTGGGCTTCAAAGACGTAAGACGTTTAGCGTCCGTCCTCGAGGACGGCCCTCCGTATTGTTCGATGTTTGACTTCTTGGTGACAGAGTACAGAGGGCTGTCTGCGCAGACAGGGTGACAGTTCTTGGAAAATCAGTGGCTGCTTAGGCTCTGTTTGTGTACGCAGCTCGGACTTTGGCCTGGACTGTCCTGACTGTTTTGAAGAGAGGAGGTCATTGGTCTCAGCTGCTCGGAAATAGCACTCTTTTGGCTCTGCAAGTTAAAAAGGGATTGAAGAGGCCAGAGAAGAAAAGTAGTGGTCACGTGGATATGTATATATATGTTTGTGGATATGTGTGTGTATATATAGCGAGAGAGAGAGGCCTCTAGAAAAGTATTCAGCTGATTGTACTGGGATTCAGAATCCTTCAGTTTTTCTCTCCCTAGCAAATGCAGTGCAATTGGTACCAGACTTTCTCACTGCACTGTGACCTGCCCGATCCCTGATCTAGATGGAGATTTGAGTAACTCAGCCTTGAGAGCCTCTTTAGTCCTTGACTGTTCTGAGGTTGCCAGTTAATACCGATTCTGGTTTTTTATTGGATATGTCTTTCCACTGGACTTAAGCCACCAAGCTCCTTTCGCATGAACTTATGAAGTGTGCTGGAGTGCTCTTTTTCCACCAGCTCAGGTGCTAGGTTCACTTGGATGCAAAAGACTCTGCGTCCCAGAATTAGTCCCTTTGAGCATCCAGTTTCGCCTGTCGAGCCGAACGTTTTCCAAATAGTTGCTTCCTTCATCATAACTAGGAAACCATGAAGCAAGCAGGAAATGTGCCCACCTCAATTAGGAGCAACAGGAGTTGATGTATGAATATTTAACTTGGGAAAGGTAATCGAATGAAAATATTAATTTAGCAGCA